GAGAGAGAGAGAGAGAGAGAGAGAGAGAGAGAGAGAGAGAGAGAGATAACGAACTATAAAACTAAAACAAGGCTGCCTAAAGTTTAATGGCTGGAGTAGAGGCATCACCATGTTCCAGAAGGTAAGAAGAGACCTTAAGTATAACAAGATTACAGGGAATTCAAAGCAGAGAAGTTCCAAAAGGCAAAGTCATTCTCCATAGAGATCATCCTTGGGAAGGGGAAGGAACCAATGTCTGGGCAACAACTAATAAAGGAGATTCAAGACATCAAATAAAGCTGACAAAGGTGACAGGATTATCATCTCTAGGTGTCATATTTTCCCAGGGAAGTCATCTGGGACTGTTCAATGTTGAATTAAATGGAATACTTCAAATAGCTAGATTTAAGTCAAGTTTCATTAACTAGCTACATTAGGGAAAAAAGACCCCTTATTATATACCTAGTGGAAGAGATGTTAGAGCACACATCATAGCTACTTGGAAGCCTGCTTTAAATACACAGATTGCTGGCCCACCCTCACAGCTTCGATATGTCTAGGGTAGGAACATCGCACTTGCATTTTATAACATGTTCTCAGTGCTAATGATGCAGATGCTCCATGGATCACAATTTGAGAAACACCAGGTTAAGGGGAAAAAGCAAAAAGTATCAACTATTCTGAGGTACTTTTAGTACAAAGAAATTCAGGAAGTATATGCTTTTCAATTGATTGTATAGTGTAAAGGACTCAGAATTCCCAGGTAAATGATTTACAGAGCATTGTACCTCCTCGGGGAAATGAATTTCCATACACACGTAGTGGGATAGGCCATTAAGGGTACTAATGGATTGAGGAAGCAATGACATATCTAATGATGAGGCTTTGCAGAAGCCTGGCAAAGGCATCAAGAAGCGATGAGCTGCGAAGGAGTTGGAGATTCAAAGCACATCTCTCTCTCTCTCTTTTTAAATTATTTATAATATGATTTCTCTGTTATTTGGGGAGTTTTTTTATTTTTATTCCTTCCATAAATACCAATGTACTTCGAAATTAGGCATGAATGTCTTTTAAAATAAATCTATTGTTTCTTTATCAGACCCATAGTAAACTAATAATGATGATACATTAACTCCCTTTTTCTTTTAGCTCTCTAAAGATTCTTCTATAAGGCAAACCAACATTCCCAACTCAAACATGGAATTATGTTGGGCTCAATGGATGAACTAATGACACAGTTAAGTCAGAGGATTAAAGAGGAAACTTTCATTTTGCTCCAAGTCTTAATTATAGGTTTTGTAGAATTATTTTTGTTCTGAGCACTGCCCTTAAGTTTTATATTCTAATCAGAATTCATCAAGTCAAATCCTCATATGCATTGCGATGCTGGCTGGTAGCAAGAAAGCAACATGATGCAACCTGAGTTTTATAGTACGAGTTTAGCATCTAGAGCAGGGAAGACACGGTGATTTGACTAGAATGGAAAGAACGTAAGCCTTGCTATATATAAGTGAGAGTCCAAAGGAGAGAGAACAGTCGCCTAATACAAGAAATAAGCTTCTCCAGGGATAAAGAGCAACTGGCATGGACAGGAAATGGGGATGAGGAGGGTCCATAGAAACCTGAAGTCCTCAGTGGGCAGAGAGGTAAGGAGCATCCATAGAAACCCTGGGTCCTCAGTGGGCAGAGCGATAAGGAGGGGCCACAGAACCCTGGGTCCTCAGTGGGCTGAAGGGGGTCCATAGAAACCTGAGGTCCTCAGTGGGCAGAGGGGTGAGGAGGATCCATAGAAACCCTGGGTCCTCAGTGGTCAGATTCTGCATGATTTGACTGCTTCTGGGCCACACAGCAATTCCTATGCAGCCCAAGGCCAACATACTGTGCAGGCACCGTGAAACTATAGAAAAGCATGCTCTGTGCACTCACGTGCAGTGCTCTGTGAAGTTCTCTGGATCCCACTTTCCTACAGCTTTTCTGCACTTTGAGTTGAGCATTATGATGAAGCTTCATGTTGTCAAGTGTACTGAATGAAATCCTCCTTTTAAGAGGTCTGACACCATCTGTCTCCGCACTTTGTGCTCAGTGAGAGTAAAAGTGCAAAGGTGAGAAGGCTCAGAAAGGTCAAGAAGCAGGCTAAGAGGGAAAGGGCTCGGGGCTGACCTCCACTAGGCCAGGGCAGGGCTATGAAAATGGAAAAGGGTGCCAGGGCATCAGATAGGATATTTTATTCAAAACAAGGTTAGAATCATTGTTAGTGCTCAGAAAATATAAAGTGAGAATCATAAAGAATTCTCAAACTGGAAAGGCCACAACAATTCAGACATGGAACGAAAATTAACAGATGTCTTCTGAAAAGTACTACAGCAATGGCATGCTCATAATCTGTTCGTTTTGGGTCAACAGATGTACCACAAGGAAGATCACCAAGTACCATTTTATTCAAGACACAGAACTGACTATACATCAGAGATGAAGTGACCCAAGCCCAGGAAGTCAATAGTCCCATGTGCTCTCTTATATGTGATGTGGATGCTAGCTTTGGGACCTTAGACAGGTGTTGTTCTAGTTACTTTCTACTGTTCTGATAAAAATACTGACCAAAACCAACTTGGGGAGGAAAGTGTTTATTTTACTTTACATCTCCCAGGTCACAGTTCATCACTGAGGGAAGTCAGGGCACGAGCTCAGGGCAGGAACCTGGAACAGAAGCTGGAGCACAGACCTTGGAGGAACACTGCTCACTGGCTTGGTCCTCTAGCCTGTGCTCAGCCTGCCTTCTTATATAACACAGGAACAACCTGCCATGGGGTGCCACCACCCACAGTGGGCTGGGCTCTCCCACATTACTCAACAATGGGTCAACAATGAAGAAATGCATCACAGACATGGCCATAGCCCAATACAATGGAGGAAATTCCTCAATTGAGGTTTCCTCAACCCAAGTGTGTCAAGTTCATAACTGAAGCTATTCCAGCACAAGTATGTTTCAATTGGAAAATCCATTAAGGTCAGGAGACTATTTAGGAGGTCATTAGTAGTGGAGGGGTCATGAGAGGGGATAGAGTGTGCAGTGATATAAAGGGGCAAAGGGGAACAATTGAATAGGAAGGGTTAGATGGGGTATGGAATGGGAGGGCAGGACAGATGAGGTAGTATGGGAAGGGAAGAGAGGATGGCAGTCCATGCTGCGGTTTAGATACGTTTTGTTCCAAAAAGGTATGTTTGCTAGATGCTTGGCCCCAGCATGGAGGTACAGAGGTGTATCTTTAGCAGGGCCTTGCAGCAAGTAACTATGTCATGGGGGCTCCAACTTCATGAATGGCCTGGGT